TTGCTGTAACTTGTCTTTTCTAGGATTTATAATGAGATGTGATGTATGTCTTCTTGGTCAAGGATATACTTAATTACAGACCATCTCTGGGTTACTTAGAGCTCAAATTACACTAGAAAGTGGCTGTTTATATTGTTTATGATGAGCACCAGATTTACCATCTGTCTGTATTTAAACTATATAATGTGTCTAAATACCAAGGTGACAGACATATAATGTGTCATTACACAAATATATTGAAATAATTCAAATTAAAAGTCCAGAAGATCTCGTAACACACTAGATATGGATTTGTTTATAAAGGTTTGACAAAAGTGCGATAAAGGTTTGACAAAAGTGCCACATGATGGTTCATTATCACTCTAATTAATGAAAAATAGATCCAGTAATAAGCAACAGTCACTGCTATCACTTAATGCAATGAAACAAGGTTTGTCAGCCATGAAGTTCAAGGGCCTGATTACAGATAATGGACTTAAGCTTCCTGTTGGGAATTTGGTCATTTTGTAGCCTCAACAGAATTTGAACTTTTAACATTTCCATCATGCTGTAGTTTGACTAGAGGTAAAATAGAAGCAGCTGTGGTGAAACTGCTAATGGACCAACTGAAATATATGAAATCTTTCACTTGGCTGGACCACCAGGAAGTGTAGTTGCCCTGGAGAAATGTAATATTACTAGAAGTGGGCTCAAATTTAAAGTAAAAAAATTCTGCAATAGGACTTTCCACCCCCAACTTTAAATTGAATAAAGTTTAGACACTAGAGTCAGCAATGTGCTCAGGCAGCCTGTCCTGGGGACATCAGGCACAGCATCACAGCCGGGCAAGGGAGGGATTGTCCTGCTCTGCCCTGAGCTGGGGCAGCCTCACCTCCAGTGCTGGGGACAGGTCTGGGCACCACAATGTGAGAAAGACATTAAACTATTAGAGAGTGTCCAAAGGAGGGCACAAAGATGGGGAAGGGCCTTGAGGGGAAGCCGTGTGAGGAGCAGCTGAGGGCACTTGGTCTGTTCAGCCTGGAGGAGACTGAGGGGAGAGCTCAGTGCAGGTACAACTTCCTCAGGAGGGGAAGAGGAGGGGCAGGCACTGATCTCTGCTCTGTGGGGACAGTGACAGCACCCAAGGGAATGGCCTGGAGCTGTGTCAGGGGAGGTTTAAGTTGCATATTAGGAAAGAGTTCTTCACCCAGAGGGTGGTTGGACACTGGAACAGGCTCCCAAGGGAAGTGATCACAGCACCAAGCCTGACAGAGTTCAAGAAGTGTTTGAAGTGATTTTACAGTGTTCCAATTGGAAGCTAAGATCTCACTGTGATGGTATATCCTCTGATACACATAAAGAGAGTGGCCAGAAGTTTAATTTTGTCAGGTCACATACCACCATCTGGGAGCCCATTGCTAGAGGAAGGACAATGGACTCTTCATTTATTTCAGTGTCCCCAAATGGCTTGACAGAGTGGATGCTATATATCTTCCCAATTAGACTTGTCCTCTTTTATTTTGGAGATCTTCAGGGAACTAAGGCATAGGCATCAAGTTCCTCCTGTTTTTTCAGCATCCCTGATCTCCAGAGGCTCCAGAGAGCAGTTAGAATATGCATTGCTTGCATTGCTGCTCTTCTGAGCAATACAACACAACAACATCATTCTGCAGTGCTAACAGCCAAGCTTTAGAGTGATATACCTGTGACATTTAAGATTTGCAGGGATATATACATATTTAAGTACCTTGCATGCCTGTAAGGATGTGATGCTATGCCCTTTATAATATGTACACAAGCTCATATACAATCAGAGAAAATGAAGGATGTCAGGTAACATGGGACAAAATACAAAGCAAGGTTAATACTACACTTTTATTCCCATTTTTACAGAAATAAATAAGGGTACAAAAGTGTCAAATAATTTGATAGATATAATTACTAACCTGGTAGCACAAAGTGATGCTTGATGAACTAATTTGTCAGAGTGGTGACATTGTAGGCACACTAACATAAGCACAGAGCTTTGGCTCTGCATAAAACTTCTCTTGTTATTAGGTTATTAATGGAAAAAATAAAAGCTGTTTAAATATGACCCTTGAGGCAATCCTCAAATTTGTTATTTCTAGCCCTTAGGCCATTGCCCTATGTGATTTGTGTTTAATCACAAAAAATAATCAGGGAAAAGATCTGCTGGAGATATATCGCAAATTTAATTAATAGTAAACAGAGTAAGTCTTCTAAAATATTATTGTCCCACTGTAACAATAAACTGAAAGAATAATTGAATGGATGACTAAGTAAATAATTAAAAGTAATAGGCCCAAACTGGCCATGTGCTCTTAAGGAGACCCTAGCACTGATTTCATTGAGTTCCCCCTGAAGCCATCTTTTCTCCAGGATGAACACGTATAGGTCCCTCAGCCTCTCCTCACAGGGCAGCTGCTCCAGCACTGATCATCCTCACGGCTTCACTGAACTCACTCCAGTTTTTTAAGGTCTTTCAGGTATGGTGTTGCAGAGGGTGCAGTATCTTGGATGTGTTGTAATGAGCGATGAGTAAAGGGAGACAATCATCTATTGTTGTGCTCTGGCTAACACAGCCTTCTGACCTTTGCTGCTGCCTCACACTTGCCATGACTGCAAAGCCAAGGTGTCAGGCAAGTAATTATTTTAGGTATCAAGAGCTGCAAGATGACTTGGTTTCTCCTCAGAAGATCAAATCCGGAAAGATGCTGAACATCAGAACATCAGAAACTCCCTTCTGGGATGCTGAAGTCCAGAAATGGACTGAAGTCAATCAATAAAAGAAGAGACATGCAGAACAGCCAATGGCAAGAAATTCAAACTATTGGTTTAGTTTCCAGAATCTGCAGAACAAAGTTTCCTTTCCATCCAGTGCACCAGCATAGGAAGACATCTACATGCAATAGACTGTTGTCTACTAATTAATTCTGCTAGCAAGTGATAGAGCTCCAGGTGGGACAGAAAAGATGCTTTTAAGGCCAGAGACTGCTTACATAAAAATAGATGAAACAAGAAGAGCAGGTGAATTTCAGAGAAAGGAGGAAATACCATAATTGAGTGAAGTAAACCCACCTCCCCAGGGTGATCTGTGCCAGAAGACCTGCCTGAACTCTTTCACCAACAGTAGGAGGGTAGATATGAGTAGTTTTAAGGAAAGCCCAGAAATCTCTAGTCTCCCCGTGAATCATAGAATTATTTAGGTTGGACATTTAAGATCATTGAGACAAACTGTTAACCCAGCATTGGCAAGTCCACCCCTGAACTATGTCCTAATAATCAGATCTACATCTTTTAAATATACAGAATTTTGTACAAAGAAGAACTCCTGCATTCAATTTTACTGAGAATGAACACCTCAGAGTGATGTTAATCACTGGTATGAAACTTGCCAGTTGAGTGGAGACAGGAAAGGGAGGAGACACAAAAACTGAATCAAACAAACTGCTAGTGTTTCTATACAGTGGCGTTTGGAAGAGTAGCAAAACACTCAGAAGTCAAATGGTTCTGGTAACTTCAAAATCTTTAAAGTGTTTTTATTAAACTTCTAAAGTTCTAGTAAGTTAGTTTTACTAAATTAACAGTGGTGCTTTCTTATGATTGTGTCCTGACAAAACCAGACTACTGCAAAATTTCAAGTGCACCATAAAGTCTTGGAATAATGGCAAGTCTGGTTAAGGAGTCACATGTTTTGTGATTTCCACTTTCTGCTAGGCATGGAAATCTTGGGGCAAGTGTGTGACCTGGCACAGTACCTACCCACCTCCCCTGCTGCCCAAACAAAACAAATGCCAATCCTGATACTTGCCCCTCTCCCACATTTTCATAAAATAGCATAGACGGGGTGTTTCTTTCTGAGGGTGAAACAATCTGGGGTGTCTTTCTAGCTGCTCATGCAACTTCCTCCTTTGCAGGAGTTTCTTAGTGGGAGAAAGTGTGGATTTACTAAGAAGGAAAAAAACTTGCTCCACACATTAGCCCTAACCAGCACACTAGTCTGCTGTGCCAAGGAACACTGTGTAACTGTTGTTTAGACCAGGATGGCATTCATCTGCTGCTTACACTGAATCCCATGTGTTTTATGGCTGGAGGCATATGACTCCATGTACTAGCAGCTGTAGAGATGTATGGAAGAACATATTTCCTGCCCCAGATGAGACACAATAATTGTATTGAGATACAGGCAGATGAAATTAAAGGCTGGAGAGAGGAAGGAAGCTGAGAGAGAAGTTTGGATATTGATATCCTGAAGTTTCACAGATGATCTACAAAAAGCATTTTCTCCAAACCATTAGAAAAATAATAAATTATCAGATGAGTTTGATCTTTGATTTCTGCCTTTATTGGGAAACTGTTTTCCTGCAGAATTCTTTTCAAAATAGGGTTTTGACTGGTTGTGAGCCTATTCACCATTGTCACAGACAAATTCTAAAGCAAAGAAGAGAAGGAAGAGTGTCTTGAAAAAGATGCAGAAGAAATAAAGAAGATATTGTATCCTATGCTACTGTCACTGCAGAGCTGATATGTGGGCTGTCACGCAGAGAACAGCAAAACAGGAAGCAGCAATGTTGTGAGACGATTTATCTAGGGAAGCTTTCAAACTTCTTGCAGTGTCTGATCACAGAGGTTAAATAAGAAGAACATGATATGTACACATATGTATGTACAAGATGTAGCATGTCCATTCAAAGCATACATCTCCTCTGATTATCAATGAGATCGGCTCTCAACCCCTCATTTGTCCAATATATAGGCCAGATGTATGAGGTTCATAGGAAAATGTCTTCTGGAGAACATAAGAAACACGGGCTGAGTGGTTTTTAGGGATTTCATGATTTCTATCTAAAGAAACCCTGGGCAGATGAGAGCTGACACACAGCTATCCTGGACTTACAGCTGGTTGCTGTAAACAGTCTGATTCCAATAGTTTTCACTCAGAAACAAAACAGGAGAGGGAAGGTGTTTATCTTAAAAAGAACTAGAGCTGGGACACTCACCTATTACACAGAAGGGTTTCCTTGCAAAGCGCAGTCTTCCTTGCCATCCTCGGTATCGACAACAGCACCCAGCAGACCAGATACGAATGATAAATTCCAAACCAAAGACAACAATCATGACAAATTCCTAGAAATGGCAAATAAGAAAAATGGCTGTTACAGATAACCAACATTTAAACATCAGGAATCTTATCACTACTGTTTGTGTCTAACAATCCACCTTGAGCATCTGAATATCCCAAGCCAAACATGGGATTTTGCTGCCCAGGATTCTTACACCTCTACAAGCAGCACACAGTACTCAGAGCTTCACAGTGAATGGTCTAAGCCTAACCTGACTAACATTAAGTATCAGCTAAGATTGGCTATTAAATATGAAACAGTGAAGAACTGAATAATATACAAAAATATCAGACCAAAATACTCAAAGACTTTGCATATTGAGCATCAGAGCACAGGTAATTTATACAGCTAGTGAAAAATGTTCCAAATCCACATGCATAAAATTAGTTCTTAGTTTAAAGGCTAAAAGTTTTCAGAGATATATTCTCATTGTTGCAATATGCAGGTGAAGTAACTGAGATTAAGAATCTGGGAAATCAATCTGTTCTCAGCAGTAGGTTAAGGTATGTGCAAGTGTAATTACATACAATGGGTATGTAATTGTTTGTAAGGCAATAAATGAGTGCCCACTCTAGGCATAACTTTCCCTGGACAATCTGTGAATTCAAGTCTTTAGAAATTTTGCTTTGCTTGTTTGGCCTGCCTTTTTTTTCACATTGGAACCTTTTTAAAGACTGTCTATTTTAAAAGCATCAACATGTATTTATGCAATTTTTATTCTAAAATTTTAATTTCAACAGTGAGGTCAACGGGGTTGCAGTAATAGAGCTTGGAGCACAATTCAGCTCCATACCCTAAGGAGATCTGCAGCTCAATAGTATGCAGTGATATACTACATATACACTGTATGGAATTAAAAACGTAGATACTCTTCTGGTATACCATCACGAAGTCATATGTTTTGAAATGACAAAATAAAAATCTGTATGTTCACAAAAGGAGAAAAGTACTCGAGGGACTTTCTTAAAGAGCTCATCAAGAAGAAAAGGATGGAAGTTGTGTTTTATTTGGCAGCCCAAAGTATTTCTGTGTCCAGAAGTAAGTTGTTTCTTGTCAGCCAATTAATTTGTTATTCCTGCAGGGTGAGGACAGTAAGAGAGCACTGCAAATGAATTAAATAAAGGAATTTTTGCAAGGGTAGGGTTGATCCAATATTGACTTTTCCCTAATAAACATCTTGCATACTTTTTGACTGTGAGACCCTACAACTCTACCAGCCAATGTGTCAGCTCAGGCATGAATTTACCGGAAAGAATGGCATTATTAATGTTGTGCCATGTAATGATTCTTTACTAGATTATGATTAGTGGCAGTCCACTGAAACATTGTGGACTTAATTGCTTTTGCTGTCATAGAACAATTTGAAAACATAGTATTACTTCCTAAAATGTCAGCTTGTGTAGCTACATTACACTGAAAACACTTTTAGAGGCTTCTTCGGTGTCTTCATTTTTGGTTTCTTAAATCCTGTATTGAATGTCTGAGTTACAAAAGTAGAATAAGATCCCTCTGCTAAAACGTGGCTGAAGAAAATGCCACATTTTTTATTAGAAAAGAACACATGGAAAAATGAGTGTGATTGTTTGAGCTTTTCTTTTTATTCCACTACAAGAAACTTCAACTTAATTCCATGGGCAGTGTTATTGCACAACTTCAGAAAGGATTATGTATAAAATTGAAAAAGTTCCCCATATAGTAACAATAATTCCTAATAGTTGGCTACCCTGTGGTACATTTCCTTGTAGGAAATTCTGTGTAGGCCAAGAATAAAATGGACAGGAAGCCAACTGGAAAAAAAAAAAGAATATGTATTTTAGTTATTTAACTACCACTTTTATAGTGGTAGTTAAATCATGAATTGTCAAATCTGGTTTACACATTGTTCAATGAAGCCTCTGAATTTATGAGGGTTGATGGCAGGCATCCAGGCCATCTGACATCTGATCCTCCTCAGGAAGAATTTTCTTTGGGTTAGGGTAAAAGATACTGAAGGAAAGGAGTGCTGAGAAGCATGAAAAAGTCTTTGCTTACATTAAAATCCTTTTCTTGTTAAAACTTTCATTTGACTAAAGGTTGTTGTTTCCCTGGAAAACATAGAGTGTGTACAAAGACGGGCGATATGTTTTGTAAGTACAGTGAAATTGTCCCAGGCATCTTCCAGAAGCTGATCCACACACACAGGAGTGTGTCCTCTCCTGTACTCTGGACCCTGGCAGGGCCTCTGATGGGGAACTGGCAAGGACAGAAAGTACTTAACGATCCTGGAAGCTTCAAGTCAGTTCAAATAGTATCGCAAAACTGCTGGCAGGAGTTGGAAAGAGGTAATTTTTGGGGAAAGTTTACTCTTCTGATTCCTACCAGCGCTATGCATTTTGTATTTATCACCTATACTATTGTTAGCCATTACTAGGTGCTATTCTTGCTCAGTGAGACAAAGATGAGAAAAGTTATTGTGTGCTGAAAGCACATCTCTGAGAGTCTGTGTACTACGTGGTGCCTTTGTGTATTAGCGACAGAAATCTTATTTGTCTCACACACAAAAACATATTTACTAAAAAGAGCAACTTCTTGGAGATACATATATTTTGGGAAAGAAAAAGAGCAAAAAGATATTTTCTCTTTTTTTTTTTTTGTGGATGGTGTAAGAGTTTTTCTTGAGGAAATAATGTGAAATATCTCTGTTCATTCCTTGAGAAAAAGTTACCATTTCTAGAACCATTACAAATTTATGCATGGTAATATCATGTCAAAATTAACTAAGGTTTCTACTACTTAAATAATTTTTTCTATTACTTAAACAATATAACAACTGTGATTATATTGAGCTCAAATACAGTAAATACGTCTCTGTGCACTGGGATCCTAAAGGAACTGCTGCTTTTAAAAATACTGTATATGATTTTCTTCCACCCATAACAAGTTTCTGTAAATTTAAAAGTACACTATAAGCACTGTGCAAATACATATAATATACTATACTGTACACTACAAAAGACATTGAAGAAAATGTAGATGGAATTTCACACTTATTTTTGCACTTACTGAAATAGTGATGTTTCAAACTGATCTTTATATCCTAATGATTCCTACTTCCTCAAAGAAAAGATGATTTTGAGGGGAATAAATATAAAAAAAATCTAAAGGGAAAGGACTTTAAAAAAAACCATAATATGTTTAAACAGAACTCTTCATAGTAGTACACACAACAGATTTGTTTTATTTTGGATTGATTTGGGTCAAAACCAGAGAGAGACATGGAATTCCATACTACTGTTTAAAAAATAATGTTTAATAGTCAGACACTCAGTCAAAATGTTAAGGCAAATCTCTGTCAGGGTTAATGCAGGCCAGGGAATGACATTATTTTTTCTTATGGCAGTTGTGAAGTTATGAGGTTCTTGGTCTTCCATGGGCAAAAATTGGAAGGATGCATCCCAAACAAGATCAGGATTTTAATTTTTATATTTCATTTGGAAGGCTTATTGCCAACTTAAGCATAAATCTAGGCTTTGAAATAACTTGGGTTTAGTTCCTAGCAATTGAAACAGAAGATCAGAACATAATTGGAAAGGCATGTGATGGAATAAATCATTAGACTTCGTGCTTTGTAGACTTGTAGACTGAAGAAATTACGCATTCCAAGTATCTCTGTCCTACATATAATAGAATGGAACATCATTAATTTTGAATTACTTATGAGAATGAGAAACAACATTTACATCAGAATGGGAAAATCTTGCACTGTTTATAAATCTGGCCCTCTTCAAAATTAAGCAAGGCTGGATTTGAACTGATGAGCAAGTTAAGATTTACTGGAAACCTAACCCTTCCCTTCCTAGGTAGAGCAGAGGTGCATTAGCCTTTGCCATTTCTTGCTTTTTCCCTATCTTGTTATCCTTTTCCAATCACAGCTGCACTTGGCCTTACAGCAGAGTTACCACAATCTGTCACTTTTTTGGCTGTTCAACCTCATGGTTAGCACCTCCCAGTAACCACTATGGCAGATGCATTGCTGTTTCAGACAGTGGAAAGTTTTTCTTCCTTCTCCAAGCACAGTTCTTCCAAACTGATGAGCTTTTCCTTCTGAAATGTTTCTGCACATGCAGCTCCAATTGTTATGGGGAACCATGCATATGCAGGAGAAGCAAGGGTGACCACTGGGGCTCACAGGTTCAGTTGCTTTTGGCTAGCAGTGTTCTCCTGAAGATTTTTACATCTGTGTGTGCCTGGGTTGTTACACCACTGGAACAACGAGGGTCACACAAATGGCAGGAAAAGAAAATAAGTGGTCATCCAGAGCAAGGCTTGTGTTAATAAAAGGTCCTGAAGGACTCTAATCAACAGGGTTGATGATTAAGCAAATCAAGCATACTTTGTACAATCCAGCACTTTCCCCACCTTTTTCTTCCTCTTATCTAATTAGGATACGTGATTTGTTGAAATTGCTTACATTAATATGCTTCTCAAGCAGATTTTAATGATAAGGATTTCCCTAAGCAAAACATTTTAACAGCAAAAAAAAGTTTATAAATTAGCTTTCCCACTCTTTAGCATAAGTACTTATTAAAACTGAAAATAATTTTCTGATGATGCCTTCACTGTAGACTGTAACTTTGGGGAATTAGAGCCATTTTGCAACAAGAAAATTACCAAAGTTGAGCACTCGTGCTGATCTAGGATGCTTCTGGTTATTTTGCAATGTGTAAATGAGCTGAGGCTTGGATATAAGAAATCCACCCACAAGACAATGTCTCTGCTCTTATTTTAATTATATTTCTTGTACGGAAATGGTGATTTTAATTATGCTAAAGTCTAATGAAGTAGCACAACACAGCTGCAAACTGATACGAAGAGCTGCCTCCCTTGAGCTCATAGGAGAACTGTGTTTACAACTGACATTGTCAGAAGTCAGAGAAAAGGACAAGAACAGACCAAATGAATCCTCTGAAATAAGCTTCAGTAGGGCCACAAGTGTTTTCCTTCTGAAGACAACATCTCTTCAGT